CGGGACCGGCGGAGGAGATTTGGGTCACCTCCGGTATGTTTACCGGCTGCTTCGTCTTCCTCGTCTGCTTCCGGAAGCTGTCTTGTTGGTCTGGCGTGCTCGCTGCCCAGCTGCAAATGCTGAAATCGATCTACAGGAAGAAAATTCATAAAATTCGAAAATTATGAAGTTATGAAGATTTGCAATGAAGAGGGTTGGCGGATAAAGTGATAAAACCTAGATTTGGATGGATGCCGCCATGAATGATCTCAGAGCCTTTGAGAACGTACTCGGCACCATCCACAGGGTAAATCAAATCGTTCTCCGAGAGATCATTCCACACATAGCCATTCTTATAACTCCTTCAATTCACATTCCAAAAAAAAAAAAATTAATTAGCAGAAAAAGAAGGTTACTTTCTGCAAAAAATTACCTCTTGCAGGACCACGAGAACAGAGAAGGCATTCCCTTTCCTCTGAGAACCGTGAGCCGATCAATCACATCTGCTTTTCCCCCCGAGAACATGGAAAGAAGTAAGAATCGCTAGAAACATAGTAGAAAAAAGAACGAATTTTGCGTAAAGTTTGAATCTTTTTGCCTTTGAGACGAAGAAGCTGATGTGGGAGATGAGATATTTCCATGAAGTGGGGGTGTTCGAGTTGGCCGTTCCGGCTGAGATAGTAAACGACTTGAACCTTTCTTGTAGCTGCGCAGGAGCTTCTTCCTTTCTCTTTCTGCTGCGCAAAGTTGCTGGTTCGGGCTCGGTCCGGGCTTGTTTCTCTGGTGATCTTTCTTCTCGCAACTCCGCCATTGATCTCCATTGCTGCCATGGATTCCACTTGAGGAAACAGAGGAAGAAGAAGAGAAAAAGTAACCGTGTTAGTGTTGGAGATGGAGATAGACGCTACGCATCGCTTCTGTTTTTATACTGAAAGACAACTTGAGAGATTATGTTACAAACCGCTAGGAATGTCTTCAAGTCTCAACAATTATTGGTTAATAGTCCTTGCAATGTGCAAATATGACCATTTAAGAAAAGAGCAATTTGATAAAATAGTCCTTGCAATGTGCAAATATGGAAAAAATATTACCTCAGGAGTACTGATGCATCAGTACTCCAATGAGGGGGTGCCACGTAGGCACCACGGTGGGACCATTGCTTACGTGGCACCCCCTCATTGGAGTACTGATGCATCAGTACTCCTGAGGTAATATTTTTTCGCAAATATGACCATTTAAGAAAAGAGCAATTTGATAATAATCTAAAGAGATATTTATAAAATAATTATTTTGTACAATCTAATTAATTGTTTAATATTTCTAATTGAATGTCAATTATTTTGTATCATTAAACTTGCCCTTGTAATATACATTTGCAAGCTCATGACATAATTTATGGAACTCTATCGATCTTTTTATTTGACTTAAGTTGGCCAATATAAAACATATATATTACTTGTAAAGTATTGAAATTTTCTATTATATAAGTAAATTTTCTTAAATAATATATGTATCATACACCCAAATTTGCCTAGGTTGGATTAGAATGATTTTGGTGATCAAAGTAGGTTAGTTCAAGACAACTTGGCTAGAGGAGGTATTTAGCACAAAGAAGTTGCTTGAGCAAGTTAGAGATTATCAAAGATAGCCTATTTGACAACGAGACGACTTAAAGTTGTCAAAGATACTCATCCAAGTCATCAAATGAAGTCACCACATATATTATTAGAAGTGGGCACATTTAAGTGAAGTGGACATCCAACCTCAACTAGCTTTATCCTCTACATAGACCTCAAGGATTTCTTTATTTTTGTTCTATAGCAAGTACTTGTGTTGCCTTGCTATTTAATTTTACTTGTATCAATCAAATATATTCTTTTTAGTATAGGATCATGCTTCAACCCAAACCTATATCTAAGGGTGGCAATGACATATCCAATTATTTTGCATAAATCTTGTACATTGGCAATTTAAATGCATTTCATAGTTTTACACTCAAAACTCTCATTCCTTATCAAGCATGATTTATTCTTATTAGTAACTTTCTAGTGACACATACAAATAAACTCAGATTCAACATTTTTTTTACATTATTAAATGTGAATGATATTTAAAGCAATTACTTACTCAATCAAAAGGAATTAAATAATGAAAGAGACGCTTCAATTTTTTTCCATTTTGAGCAACACAACAAAATGAAAGTTCTTAATGTTGAATCAAGGGCTCTCGAAGCACTTCTAGCGAAATATTTCTCATATTCACCATTTTTTATAATGCAACTTCATCGACTTATCAAGTCATTATTGACCCTCTTTTTTTTGCATCAAGATTTACTCAAGGGTTTTCATATCATATATGAGAAAATAAAGAAGAATTTTCTTGGCATAGTTAATCTTCATCAATCTTATATATGCATTCTGAAAAACATTCAAACTATCTGTTTTAAAAGCTAACAAAAAGACAGACCTTGCATATCATATCATGTGATGTCATCTCATTATTTTATATGTCATATTGTCTCTTTATCTTTGTTGGCTTGCTACTTGACATATCTTTTTCCCAAGTAGACTTATCATCAATCTTATGGATACATATTCTATCACCAACCTTGCTAGCATGATAGGCACCTACCATTTTGCTAAAAAATAATATATATATATATATATA